ATCCCCAGGAGAGCTGGACACTTGTTCAGTGATGCTCTCCGCAGCATTATTCTTAACAGACAATAGGGTGAAAACTGCCCCACCTGGGTGTCAGTCAATGCAGGGTAAACGAAATGTGGTAGGGAAAGCCACACAACAGAATACAATTCAGTCATAAAAAGGAGTGACGTATTGACACGGGGGACATGGACAAACCCTGAAATCATTCCTTATGCGAAGTGCGAGAATCTGGACACATCAAGCCAGGTGTGGTATGCTCTGTATAGATGAAATGTCCAGAACAGGCAGAGGCACACAGACAGAAGGCAGACGGGTGACTGCTGGGAGCTGGGATGAGGAATGGGGAGTGACTGCTAACAAACACGAGGGGCAATGAAAATGTTCTGGAACCAGAGAGTGGTGATGGGTGCACAACTCTGTGAGTGTGCTCATTGTGCACTGTGAGGGTAAATTTCATGGTATAAGAATTTATATCTCAATTAAAAACTTAAATGACTATGAAATATGAAATACCAGAATTTGTAGAAACCAGCAAAAGTAGTCATACGAAAATTTATAGTGTTTTTTTTTTAAGATTTTATTTATTTGACAGAGAAAGACACAGCAAAAGAGGGAACACAAGCAGGGGGAGCGGGAGAGGGAGAAGCAGGCTTCCCGCTGAGCAGGGAGATGGATGCGGGGCTCGATCCCAGGACCCTGGGATCATGACCTGAGCCGAAGGCAGACGCTCAATGACTGAGCCACCGAGGCGTCCCTATAGTTTTTCTTTTTTTTAAGATTTTACTTATTTATTTGCCAGAGAGAGCGAGAGCACAAGCAGCAGGCAGAGGGAAAGGGAGAAGCAGACTCCCCACTGAGCAAGGAGCCTGATGATGCGGGGCTCGATCCCAGGACCCTGGGATCAGGATCTGAGCCGAAGACAGCCGCTCAACAGACTAAGCCACCCAGGTGCCCGGAAAATTTGTAGTTTTAAAAAAGCACATTTTTCAGAAAACAAAAAAAAGGCTGAAAAAGAAAAGAGCTAAATATTCAACTCAAGAACTTGGGAAAAGACTAATAAACCTAAAGAAATAAAAACAAATAAATAATAAAGATAAAGATAGATTTCAAAGATATAGAGACTCATAATAAACCTCAAAAGTTTTTTTTAAAAGCCAATTCTGTAAAAAGATTAGTAAGATAGAGAGAACTCTGCCTACACAAAGTCCAAAAAAGAGAAACAGCATATAATGGAAAAGGGGAAAATAATAAAAATTTAATTTAAATAAAAATTTAAAACATTTTGAAAAGTTAGAGTATAACAGACAAAGGAGACAGATTTGGGTCGGGGGGATGCCTGTAAAACAGCAATTCTGTCACAAGAAGAAATCAAATCTGAGCTGACTTGTAGCCATTACAAGAAACCGCTCCATGCCAGACGTCTGCAGTGCCCTCTGGAGGACACATCCAGCATCACGGCTCTTAACGCCCACTGTCCTCAACCACGCCCAAAAGTTCTTGGCCTAAATGAGCTCTTGCAAATTTTTTCTTTTTAATGAAAGATTTTATTTATTTATTTGAGAGAGAGAGACAGCAAGAGAGGGAACACAAGCAGGGGGAGTGGGAGAGGGAGAAGTAGGCTTCCTGCCAAGCAGGGAGCCCGATGCGGGGCTCGATCCCAGGACCCTGGGACCATGACCTGAGCCGAAGGCAGACACCTAACAACTGAGTCACCCAGGTGCCCCTCTTGCAAACTTTTAAGACACAGATAATCCCAATCTTATATAAATTGTTTCAGAAGAGGCAGTACTGTCCAAGTCCTCATACATGGCTAATAGATCTTTGATTCTATAAACAAATAAGGACAGTAAAAAAAAAATTATAGGTCCATTAACTTACTAGCATACGAACACAGATCTAACTAAATCTAACAGTGTATTTTTCAAAAGATTTTATTTTTAAGTAATCTCCACCCAACGTGAGGCTCAAACCCACAACCCCAAGATCAAGAGTCACACGCTCCCGACTGAGCCAGCCAGGTGCCCCCTAACAGTGTATTTTAAAAATGCACCATAATCAAGTACATTTATTCCCAGAATGCAAAGATGGTTTAACTTCCACAAAATCAACCAACGGAGATCACCAATATTAATGAACTAAAGAAAAATTCAAGATCATCTCATTAAAGGAAGAAAACATTTGATAAAGTTCAACATCTAATTATGACTCTTCAGGGGCATTTGGCTGGCTCAGTCAGAAGAGCACGTGACTCGATCTCTGGGTTATGAGTTTGAGCCCCATGTTGGATGTAGACATTACTTACATAAACAAACACATTTAAAAAAATAATTATGACTTTTTAAAAACCTCTCAGAAAACTAGAAACACACAGGGACTTTCATAATTTTCCAAAAATACGTACCAAAAACTTAAACACTGTGGAGAACTTTAGGAAAAAGGCAAAGATGATTACATCACTGTTTGCTACAAGTCCTTGATGACAATGTGGGTGAATCTCACAAAGGCAATGTCAAGGAAAAGAAGTCAGACATAAAAGATTACAAACCACAGGATTCCATTTAATAAAGTGGGGGGGAGGGGCGGAAACCCAGGCAAAACTAATGTCTGGTTAACCAAAGTCAGGAAGGTGGTTACCCTTTCAGCTGAAGGAAAAGATGGGAAGGGGGCATACGAGCACTTCCTGGGGTTGTTTCTTGCTCTGGGTGCTGGTTACATGGGTGTGCTCGTTCGTGAAAATGCTATCAAGCTGAACATTCATGATCTGTGCATTCTGAGGGAAGTTATACTTTAATAAGAGTGGAGCAAGACTGCGAGATACAACTATCTTACAAAAAGCAACAGTTTCTCTAAGTCATCAGTAACTAATGTTAAAAAAAATAGAGAATATTCACAATAGTAACAGAAACTACGAAGGACTAGGTAGTGACCTAGTAAAGAATGCATGAGTTCTTTAAAGAACTTTAAAACTCTACAGAAGGGGCGCCTGGGTGGCTCAGTCAGCTAAGCGTCTGCCTTCAGCTCGGGTCATGATCTCAGGGTCCTGGGATGGAGCCCTGAGTTGGGTTCCCTGCTCAGCGGGGAGCCTGCTTCTCCCTCTGCCTCTGCCTGGCGCTCCCCCCGCTTGTGCTCTGTCAAATAAATAAAATCTTAAGAAGATGAGTCTGGGGGCGCCTGGGTGGCTCAGTTGGTTAAGCGACGGCCTTCGGCTCAGGTCATGATCCCGGAGTCCCGGGATCGAGTTCCGCATCGGGCTCCCTGCTCGGCGGGGAGCCTGCTTCTCCCCCTGACCCTCCCCCCCCATATACTCTCCCTCTCTCTCTTTCTCACTCTCTCAAATAAATAAATAAATCTTTTAAAAAAAAAAATGAGTCCAAAAAAAAAAAAAGCTGGAGGAAATGAGTAGGCAGCTGTCGGAAAAGGAAGCCATATGACTGACAAGCGTAATGAGGGTATGTCCCAAGCTGTGAGGCAGCCGGGGTGTTACAACCACCGTGGGGCAGCCCTCTCCACACCTTCAGAGCGGCAGGAGTTAGAGTGGTGGACCCCGGTGCTGGTGAGGATGGAGAAGACTGGAACAGCCTTTCTGGAAAGCAATCTGACAAGCCACAGGTAGGTGTAAACCCCAGAATCCAGGGGCCCCTCTCCGTTATCTACGTCCAGAAATGCCAGCACTTGTGCAAGAGCGTGGACAAGGACAAGTCACCTGGGCATGACCTGTGGAAGCGGGGTCCGGAGGCAACCAGGGGTCTGTGACCGGGGATGGGGAAGCGCTGGATGCGAATCATGGAATGAAAAGCAGCCTGAGAAGCCCTGAACCACATGCACTTACAGGACGTGGTAAGATCTCAAAAAAAAAAAAAAAAAATGGTGTTGAGTGAAAAAAGTTGTATGCAGCTCAATCACCATTCATATAAACTTAAAACATGCAGACAAAACAACATATTTTACAAGGAAGCGAACATACTCAAACGTCACTTCTTGCACTCATGCTAACCCTGACGCCCCCATCGCACTGCTCTATTCCTTTACCCTGATTTAGTTCTCTTTATGGCACCAGTGCACCTTCTCCAGGAGAGCAGGGACCTTCCTGGCCCCTTGATCACAGGTTCATCTCCAGCTCCTGGAACATAGCCTGGGACACTGTAGACGCAAATGAATAATCGGAGGACATAGAGCCAATAGAAAGTGGGGCCTATGGAGAGGGGAGAGGAAGACAAGAACGAGCGGGGCGGTGGGGGACACTAAAACCAAGAAGGGACCTCGCCTGGACAGATCTTGGTGGTGTCTTATGACGGCTCCATAGCAATAATTACAAATTGTTTTATCAAATTAATTACTCTGGAAACTAGGTCCTGCACGAAAAGGCCGCCACCTCCCCTCCCCCAGCAGACCTGACTACCTCAGGGCCTTTGCACAAGCTACGTCCGTCGTCTGTAGGCTCTCCCCCATCCCTCCCTGCTCCTGGTTCCGCTCAGTGTCACGTCCTCGGTGGGCTCCCTTCCCCGAGCTGCCCTCCACGCCATCGCCTGCCCGCCATCTCAGCAAGCGCCGTGCCTACTCTGCCCCTGCCCGTCTCCACCCACGGATGCGCGCCAGCAGGGCGCTCGTACGTGTGCGGCCTGAACCCTCGGGCGCAGGGACGGCCGCAGCTCTGTGCCGGACTAAGGCGCGGGCCGCGCGGGGAGCACGGCCGCAGCACCGCCCGCGGGGGACACGGCGCGACCCCCGCGCGGACGGCCCACGACCCGCCTGCACTTCCGCATCGGGTCGTGGGCACCCCACACCTCCCCAGCCGCCTTCCCGCACAACGGGGCCCGGGCCGCGGATGAAAAGAGCGCCGAGCTCCCCGCCCCGCCCCCGGACGGAGCGCGCGAGACCACGTGACTGAAGGCACGCCGGCCAATCACAGCCCGGGCACGAGGCCCCGTGACCAGGCCGCCGCCAGCGCCGCCGCGCCCCCCCCCGGGCCTCTCGCACGCCCGTAGCTTTGTCCCCCTTACCTCCCGGCGGCGACCAGCTTCTGGAGGAAGGTATCCACCAGAGTGTCGAGGAGCTTCACCCTCGGGATGGTGGCGCCGGGGGGCCCTGATTCCGGACACGACCCCTCGGGCCCCTCTTCCTCACGGCCGCTCTCTGCGTTGACGCTGCGCGCTGCGGCCATGTTGAAGCCAGACCGCCAAATCTGACGGGCTCGGCCGCCCCGCCCACCGAGGCCCCCGATTGGGCGGCCTCGGCACCGGGCCCCCTCCGGTTGGAAGCGGCGGGTGTCCATCACCGAGCCGCTCGGGGGCGGGGAGCCGCGCCGGCAGCCGCGCGCCCCGCACCCGCGTGCTCCTGGGGCGGGCAGGCGGAGTGAGAGCAAAAGCCACGGCTCGGGGGCTCGATAGAAACTTTTAATTACGCGTCAGGGACTTCGTACAGTGTAACAGTGAGTGTCCGCCGCTCACGTCCCAGGAGTCCAGTCCCGGCGCCCCACGTTCCGTCCCCTTCGGGCCACGGCCCAGCTCCCCCCGCCAAGTCCAGCGGACGTGGCCTTCGGTCCGCTCCGCACGCCGGCGCCGGACGTGCTGGATGCGGGAGCGGGGGCCCGGGCTCCCCGTCGGAGACGCACGGCGACCTCTCGGACCGCCGGTGCGAGACGGGGAGGCGGGGAGGGCTGCGGCTCCGCGCCGCAGGGGGAGCCGGGGGAAAGCGGCCCGAGGGCACGAACGCCCCACCTCCTGAGACGGGCGGGGCGGCACCCCTGCCACCGCTCGGCCTGCGTGGCCGGCGTGCGGTGGGCCGCGGACGGGCCTCTGCGGGGAGGGGTGGGACTGAGGCGCGGGGAGAGCGCAGGGCCTGGCCTCTATCCCGGTGGCTCCGGGGGCGGGCGGGCGACGGAGGGGCAGGAGGTTCAGAGTCACCTGTGCAGTGGACGGACACCGGGGGACACCTGACGGAGGAGGAGAGGGGACGCAAAACCGAAGGTAGGTGGAGGGGGTTAACCTTCGAAGCCTCGAGGCCCAGACGGGCGGCGGCGGCGGAGGTGGAGCAGCAGGGTTGGCTCCGATGTGGCCAGGGCGACAGAAGGCGGGGGGGGGGGGGGGGGGGGGGGGGGGCAGCCGGAAGCAGTGTCAAGGCCTCAGGTAGCTAGCACCTTTCAGGTTGGCCCCGTGGCCTTTCCCAGGGACGGGACCGATGAGACGTGGGGAGGCTCATCCAGCCTCACGTGTGCGGTTCGAGTGCAGGCTCCGACCGGCCTTCTGCCCCGGGGCGCCGCACCCCGCATCGCAGGCTTGGTGGCGGCTTGGTGGCGGCCGGGCATGGGGCACGAGTGCCGGGCGGCCCCCAGAGCAGCTGGGCAGTGTCGGGCTGGTAAGTGCAGCGGCCCTGCTGCGGGTGAGCTCCTGCCCCGCTCCTTACTGGCTCCCAGGAGCCCCTCGGGAGGCCCGTGACTGGGACGAAGAGATGAGAAAGCCCAGTGGCTCCACGACTCGGAGATTGCCGCTGTGAGACCTGTGTGTCCGTAAGTCCCGGTGACTGGGGTGTAGACGCAGGCGGCCCCACCGCCCAGGGCCCAGAGCTTGCCTGGGCGGCTCCAGACCAGCTGTTCTCGCCCCCCGGGGGCAGCGGGCCCAGGAGGCCTCGTCTACTCAGGACTGGGCCCGCCCCTCCAGTCATCCCGGGCCTGTGCGTCCGGGGGCTGCTGGCTCTGAAGGAACGTGAAAGGGACAAGTAACTGGGATTGAGGGAAAAGCCACGTTTTCCACCTGTCTGAGAAAGGGGTGGGCTCTGACTGCAGGATTGGTGCTTCAGCAGGACTGACAGTACCTAGTTCACAGATGTTAAAAAAATACACACACAAAATAAGAGTATCAACATTTGTCCCCGACCTAATACCTCTCCAAAGAGAGGACAAGTGCTCTGGAGAACCAGAGGTTTTTCTGCTCCCACTCCCTATGCAGAAGTACCTGGCACCGTGCCCCCCTCCCCCCGGTGGCAGAGAAAAGCAGAGCAGTCTGGTGGGCAGCTCAGTCCCAAAGTAAAAACAAGCAAGCCTGAGAGATGAAACAGGAAAGGTAGCTGATGGAACCTGGGCTGAAGGCCCGGGAGGAAGACCAGTGATAGTAAGCAAGCTCTATGTACAGCTCTTGTCGGGGTCTCAGGGACACAGATGGCGGGGAAGCCGGAAGAAGGGTTCGCGGGGGATGGGTTGGGTGGGACTGGTGGGGATGGTGAGTCTCCTTAGGACAGGACTGAGGACCCAGACTGCGCAAGGGAGCCCAGTTTGGCAAGAAAATAAAAAGTAATGGGAGCAGGGGGTCCAGGTGTGGAGTCTCTTAAGCAAGAGCAGTTCAGAGTCTCTGTCACGTCCGAGACAGGCCATCCGGCCTAGGGCAGGGCTGCGAATGTGGTGGGGGCACGGGGTGGGGGGGTGCTACCCTCCCCACGCTGCCCCCACCCCAGAGTAGTGTGGCAAACAGCAGGGGTCGCTCCCCGCCACGAGTTACCAGTGTCTTGAGTCCACCAGCTCAGGTCGGAGGCTGAGTTTCTTGAGGCTCTCGTAACCCACCACAATGACAATGGTGGAGGGCGTGGCTGAGATGATTCTGGCCGAGAGGCCTTTCATGAGGCCCCAAGGCCCCTCTTCTGCCATCAGCTGTCTGAAGGTCAGGATGATGGAGCTCTTGCCTTCAACCTGGAAAAGCAACACAGTGGAGGGCCACGGTCTGCAGTCGAAGTCGCTCAGCACAGGCTCCCTCTGCCTTGGGGTCCAGGGGCTGGATTGTGCTTGTGAGGCAGTGCGGCACAGGGCTTCACGTGGGCTCCAGCGCCAGGCTGCCTGGGTTGAATTCTGCTCCCCAGCGCAGCCTCAGGGAACACAGTCACCTCTCTGCACTCAGTCCGTTCACATGTAAGCAGCGGTGGAGCGTACCCACCCCTGCGGTTCTGAGCAGTCGAGGCTGACAGGCGCACGCGCCCCGTAACTGCGAGCTGTCACTGCCGTCAGCAGATCAGCCACTCAGCTGCGGTCCTTGTCCTTACCCTGCGTGCATCTCTCTGGCCTCAGGGAGACCAGGTGCTCGTGGCCCTGCTGGTCTGTCCTTTCCATTCCAACCACCTCAGTCCCTCAGTCCCTGCAGTTGGGAGTCCTCCCCTCACCCCAGGACGCCTGCTCCCTACCACACTGGAAGTTTGGCTAAGGCAAGAATCTTCTCTGTTCCTGCCCCTTTCCCCGGACCCTGCCATCAAAGCGCACTTGGCCCCACTCAGACCCTCAGCCAGTGCAGGACACCTGCTCTCCTTGCCGTACTTCCCCGGAGTGGATGATGTTCACAAGGTGATCTCCGGCTCGGAGCATCGCCCCCTCCTCCCCACCTCCCGTAGCCCCCTCCTCCCCACTCTGCTCTTCCTCTGCAGTACCCTCCTCTGCCCGCCTCTGCCCCCAGCCCTCCCACGTATCCACAGCCGCGGTAGGGCCGCTCCAGCCAGCTTGGTCTCCTCCCGCCTGGGAGTGCCTCAGAAGTAGACACCTGTCCTTTCCCTGGGATCTCCTCATGGAACACTCAAGCCTCAGAAAAGAACGAGGAGGGAACCTGTGCACTTTATTATTTGCAAACCCATCAAATGCCAATTTATTCATTCAAAAGTGTGTGGGGGCAGCATTCTTTCCTCGGAACAAATATACCTTTAGATTTACCAGCCACCTCCATCCCAGCATCCTGGTTATCAGGGAAGCTGACCTCACCCCCAAGCTGTTGAGTTTCTTTTCCTCCCCTCTGACCCTCACCAGTGACCCCGCTCTCCTGGACAGCTGTCCTCCTACTCTACCCGCCTCAGACATCAAAATCCCCCATTCTCTCCACCTAAAGCTTTAGACAGCAGAGCGCCATTTGTATGTGACACACCCATATTCAGGTTCTATTTCCTTGGACTAGGTGCTGGGGAACTATCTCTGGGCTGAGAGAAGACAGAGACGGTTATCTCTGGACAGCACCACCAAGGGCTCTGCCAGCAGCTCTGCTGAGTCCACATGGCACAGTCTGTGAGGCTTACTCAAGAACAGTCTGTAGAGAACTCAGCCCAGCGGAGAAACCAGACTTAGGGAATTCGTTGGAATGGATATATTTCAAATAACCACAGACCTGCAAAGTAAGGAAAAGGTGTCTGATCGGCTAACAGGAGGCAGAGCAGGGAGGAGCCGGGGAGCATGGCGAGGACAGGAGCAGGGGTGTGCAAGGATGAGCAGGGCGTGTAAGGACAGGGGCAGGGCGTGTAAGGACAGGGGCAGGGCGTGCAAGGACAGGAATGGGCGTGCAGGGGCAGGAATGGGCGTGCAGGGGCAGGGCGTGCAAGGCCACAGACATCACAGGGAAACACTAGGTGCTTCAACGTGCTCAGCTGGTTTCTGCAGATGCTAACTGACCACAGGAAGGGGACTGGCTGACCCGGACAAGGCCGGCTGGACCAGAAGGCCATGATGCAGAGAGGTCAGGGGGGCGCTGGGGAGCCCCGAGGTCACTCTCCTCACCGGGCTGGAGGCTGGTCTTACCTGCACGCGGGTGCGGATGACGTCCATGGGATTGGTGAGGATGGAAGCGGTGGCCGCAGCCAGGGGCCCCGACACAGCTTGAAAGACAATGTGTGGGCACTCCTTAGGACAGAGGTATGAGAGCTGTTCTGGAATCGAGGGAAAGACAATGCCTCAAGACGTGAGGCGCCATGCAGTCTGCCCTCATGCTGCTTCTGTGCCCAACAAGGACGAACCCTCTCCAGGCTCAGCCCCCTTGGGCCCCAGAACTCCCATCTTCTCTTCTCTTCCTCGCTTCCATTGGAACCAACAAAACTGAGGAATCTCAGGGCCCTTCTGGAAGCCATGCTGGGTACATTGCCCACTTTGAACGGAAGATTCCTCCAGAGAAAGGGTTTCAGAACCTCTCTGCTTGCCAGTTCCTTTCATCCGGTGGACAGTAACCGCCCCCGCCACCCGGTGTAAAACGCTAACGACTGTTCTCCACCCGTCTCAACCCACGGCCAGGAACGCACACGGCCCATTTTCTCACGTGCGCACCAAATGGCTGGCAGCGCTGGCTCTCCGAGGAAGGGGCAGGGTGACCGCGGAGGGCAAGGAGCCTCTTCACTGCATCCCCTTCCTAACCTTGTGAATTTTGAGCCATGTGAATATTTTATTGCATTTTTAAAATTCCAGTTTGTTAACATACAGTGTTATATTAGTTTCCAAGGTACAATATAGTGATTCAATAATTCTATACACTACTCAGTGCTCATCACGATAGAAGTACCTTCATCCCCTTCACCTGTTTCCCAGTCCCCCACCCACCTCCCCTCTGGCGACCAGCTGTGTATTTTCTAGAGTTAAGAGTCTGTTTTTTGGTTTGTCTCTTTTTTCTTTGTCTTGTTTCTTAGATTCCATGTTTGTGTGAGATCCTACGGTATTTGTCTTTCTCTGACTGGCTTATCTCACTTAGCATTATACCATCTACCTCCATCCACGTTGTGGCAAACGGTAAGATTTCATTTTTTTTTATGGCTAATATTCCATTATGTATATACCCATGTGAATTTTTTTAAGATTTTTAATTTATTCGCGAGAGAGAGAGCGAGCGAGCACAAGCAGGGGGAGAGACAGAGGCAGAGGGAGAAGCAGACTCCCCACTGAGCGGGGAGCCCGATGTGGGGCTCGATCCCAGGACCCTGGGATCATGACCTGAGCCGAAGGCAGATGCCTAACTGACTGAGCCACCCAGGTGCCCCCCCCATGTGAATGTTTTTAAAAATAAAAACAATGACAAAAGAGAAAGTCATATCCAACAGTAAGATGTTTTCTCCAGGCTACATCAAGAAAGAAAAACTCATTTTTCAAAAATGCTGATAGTGGCAGAGACAGTGGCAGAGGACCCAGACTCGCCCATTCCCCGGTCACTGGGAACCCACTGCAGCTGAACTGTTAGCTTTACCCTCTCTAGCGCTGAAAGACAAGAGCTCGTTTGTTCCGCAGAGGCTCACTGCACGGCCATCACCGTGCACCAGCCACCCCAGGCCCTGAGGACGGAGAGTGAATAAACAAGCTCAAATCCTACCCTTAGAAAGTTTTCCGTTCTACTGGGGGAACACAGACAATCCAATGAAAAGCAAAAGATACAGCGATGTCAGAAGGTGATGTGTGCCCTCTGTAGGTAAAGCAGGAAAGGGAGACAGGGAATGCCGAGTGTTGGGAATGCAGGGGTTGCCGTTTTAAACACGGTGGTCATGGAAGCCTCTCCAAGAAGGCTGAAGTTTGAGCAAAGACCTGAAGGAGGGTGCAAGCCCTACGGATCTGTGGAAAGAACTTTCCAAGCAGAGGTAACACCCTATGCAAAGGCCCGGAGGCAGGAGCGTGCATTAAGCCTTTGAGGGCAGCAAGGCCTGAGTGCCTGGAACAGAGCGAGCAGGGAACAAGAGTAGACGAAGTCCGGGAGGTAAGTCATCAGGGCCTGGAAGCCACTGCAAGAGCTTTTCGCTCTGAATGAGGCTGGATGTAAAGCAGACTCATCATTTCAGAGATTCAGTCTCAGTTTTCTCTCTACAGTTCAGTTGCCATAGAACTTTTAAGAATTTTTTTCTCTGCCCTTTTGGTAATTTGTGGCCACCTAAAGATGAGGGTACAGAAGGAAGGTGGGGGTTGGTGGGGCAGATGTGAGGGCCTCTGAGTCTGGCAGCATGGCAGGACTCCTTACGCCCGGCCAGAAACATCTCTCCCCTGGTTGCTAATCGCCTCCCTCCCTCCCCCGGGTCAGCAAAAACCGAGACAAGGTGACCACCGCCTCACCCGTACCCTGTTTCTCCTGAGAAGGAAGCATCTTGCGGCCACTGGGAGGTGGCATCTGGCCGGGAGCTGCCAGCCTCCATGGGCCTGTCTGCACTGGCCCTCGGGCCTGCAAGCCACAGCAGGATCCAGGTTCCAACTGTAGTCAGAGACACATGCCATTTTCCTGGGACTTCGGGAGAGGATGAAAAAACAAAGCAAGAGAGTGGGGGAAAGAGCCCCATGTCTTTGCTCTCCATTAGTCATTCAGTAAGCACTTACTGGGCACCTCTTATCTGCAAAGCAGAAGACGATAAACCCAGGCTGACTTGGTTTAAGTCCCTCCTGGCTACGTGACTTTGAACAGTAATATAAACGTATATTTATTTAATGCTGCTGGATGCCAGGCGCTGTGTGAGCATAGGACATACAACAGAGAAATGAACAGGGAAGGGCCTTCATGGGAGCTGTGAGTCGAGGATAAAATGATTGCAAATTATGACAAGTGCTATGAAGGAAACAAGCTGAAAAAGAAAAGAGAAAGAGCCCTTTTGCCAACCCTTTTGCCAACCGGGTGATGAAGTCTTCTGTGCAAATGTGGCATGGAGGCTGAGGTCTGGAGCACGAGAAGGATAATGGGACGGGGCACCCCAGACTGAGAGAACATTATCTGCAAAGGCAGAGAGATGAGAGCAGAGCTTGGTGTGTTTCAGGAGCAGAGGGAAGGACAGTGAGGATGGAGCAGAGCAAGGGGAGAGAGGCCCACCGCGGGGCTGGCACAGCAGACGGGCCAGATCACGGAGACCTGCACTGACTACGGACACATTCGATTTTATTCTAAATGCCCAGAAGGTAGCATTGGTAGATTTTAAGCAAAAGGGAATGACAAGAACCACTCTACTCCTTTAACATATATTTACAAAGCACATGTGGCCCAGAGCCTATCTGGCAGGTAGTGTGTATTCAATAAATGTTAGTTTCCTCCCACTTCCAAGAAACTTTCCAATCAACTGTACCTCAATTGTATCTCAATTAAAAAAATGCATTTTTTTTTTTAAAGGAACCTTTCCACCCAGTAGAAGATCTAAGGCACACGCAAATAACATCAAGGCAAGTGATACGTCGCTTCTGGGTCAAGGGCTCCACGGAGCAATGCAAGGAGGCAGTAGGGAGCACTTGGGCATGTCACGGCTTCCCAGGGCAGGTGCGCCTGGAGGGCCGAGAGGAACAAAGCAGGGGTGGGAGACACGACGCAGTGGAGGATCTGTGCATGATCTGGCCTGGCTGCCGCACACGCCACACTAGGGGACGCTCCTCTGGAAAGGGAGGTGGAAGCCAGACTGAGGAGGTGGGCTTGTACTCGGTGAGCAGTGGGAGCCACTGAGCACCACAGCCAGGGTTTAAAGAGTGACTCCATTAGGTGTGTGTGGTAGGTGGGATGGAAGACCAGCTAGAGGGCTGGCGCAGCGCCCAGCAGGGTGGTCGCTGAGGCGTGGTTTCCAGGGAAGGCAGGAGAAATGGACAGAGAGTAGGGAAAGACATTCTGGGGTCACTAGGAGCAGATGTGGGGACGAGGAAGAGGGAGTGACAGTCTCAGGGATGTGGAGAATAATGTGGCCGCTGAGAGAGAGAAGTGAGTCAGTCAGCTTGGGATGAAAAGTAGTTCGCTGAATAGTTTCAGATATAAATGCATGCATCCATGTCGAGAGGCCCAGCAGTCAGAGTGTCTGTCCAGAGCTCTGGAAAGTCAGTCTGGGGATAGACACATGTTTTCTGACGTGGCAGAAAAGGACAAGTCAATTGTAAATGAAATCACATGAGAAGAGAAGGGCGAAGACAGACACCAGAGAAAATGCTCACAATTCCTAGAGTTTTTCTTTTCTTTTCTTTTAAGAGAGAGAGAGAGAGAGAGCGCACAAGGGGACAGGGGGGCGGGGGGGGGGGGGGGGGAGAAGCAGGCTCCCCGCCGAGCAAGGAGCCCAATGGGGGATTCAATCTCAGGGCGCTGACCTGAGCCGAAGGCGCCCCTTCTGGAGTTTTTCTTAACATTAAGATTAGCAGGATCCATTGCCAAAAGATCTGATGCAAAGGGTCAGGGGTGGAGTCTGGGTATGTGGATTTTACCAAATATTCAGGAAGAAAGACTGTGTTAAACAGGAGAGGGAAACAGAGCTAGCAATAAAGAGGAAGGTGCCATCAGGAAAAAGGGAGAATCACAAACGTGTAGGGCCAGAGGGATAGGATGATTACAGATTAGGAAGTCATTGTGAAATTTGGTTAGGAAGGTCCCAGATAGATTGGACAGAAGGCCCACTGCCAAGGCTCAGGAGCCCGCAGAAGGGCCTGGGGAGGCTTCAAGCAGAGACCATCCTCATGGGAGTCTGCTGGTTGCCCAAAGCTGTGGATGCCAAGGGTCACAGGCACGCTCAGGTCCTGTTCTTGGCAACACTCTGCCCTTCCAGAATGAAATCTGGCGACATGTTTATCGAGGCCCTCAAAAATGTTATCTTTGGACCCAGTGATCCATTTCTGGGAAATACTTAAAAAGAAGTAAAATGTCTTATGAACAAAAATACGTTCTAGGAGCGGAGGAGTTCAAGGCTTTATGACATCTTGAATTTAACAAAGCTGAGGAAAGGCATCCAACTTAAACACTCATCTGAAATTTGAAATTTCATCTTCAAATCCCAAATATCCCATGAATTTTGTCCTTCCTCGCCTTCCAATTCTCTACCAAAATTCCACTAACCCTCATTGATTGAAAGGCAGCCAGAACACACTTGATGTTCTACAGTCGTCTACTTTACTCGTCTGAGTCCCCCCACAATAACATAAGCTCCCTGAAAGCAAGAAGCCGTGTCTCATTCATCTGTGAACCCTCTTGGGGTCAAATGTTTGCTGAATGAACAGCCCACTCTCCCGTGAAGTCTTCCACTCCAGCGCGCACAGGGCCACCCTCTACCCCCGCTCTCCCGGCCGCCTCTTACCTGCATAGAAGTGATAGAAGGGCCACCAGACAGCACTATTTGGGATGTAGGTAAGCAGTGAAGCCACGTAGCCTCGGTAAAAGCCTCGGAGCCCGTCAGCCCGCAGGATCTGCCTGATGATGTCCTTGGTTTGGCCAAAGGCTACTATCCCTCGTCCCTCGGGGCTCCCTCGCACTTGGAAGCGGCCCATTCTCTCGCCCTTGCGCTGCATCATCAGGTGCTGGGACACCACATCAATTGGCACTGTGATGCTCTGGGCCACGAGGGAGGCCGAGCCACCGGCCACCAGCGACTTGACTGTGTTGCTCTGGCTGTAGTCAGCGACAAACTTCCGGGTGAGCTCATACGTGGTGACGTAGCACTGGCCAGAGATGAGGGTGAAGGTGTTGACCAGGAACCCCCGGTAGAGGCCAGTCACGCCGTCTGCTCGCAGGATTTTGATGAAGGCATCAAAAGTCCCGTGGTAGAGGCTCTTGCCTTTCTGGACCTGCAGCCGGGTGCGGATGAGGGTAAACGGGTAGACGCTGACACGGATCATCATCGTCATTGCTACACCAAACACGTAAAACTTCTTCTTGTCCAAGTGTTCCCACTCGATGATCTGGATGTTGCGCTTGTCCTCCATGGCGCCTGGAGACCTGGAGACGTGAGCGGGCGGGAGGACGTGGGGAAGGAGGCTAGCGCTTCATGCTCTGTCCTGCTGGCTAGGCTCTGAGCCCCGTCCTCAGGCTTCATCTCCTGGGGTACCCACCACCCCAAAGTTTAGATTCCAGTCCGGCTTGGCCGACTCTTGCCTGAGTCTTCATTTGGGGATCAAGATGCTGCCCCCCTCCCCGCCTCTTTCATCGGCCCTCCCCCAACTCCAGAGGCTGCTCCACACTTCAGCGACTCCTGCAGCCCCACCCCCACCTCGGCTCCCTGCCCAGGCTGATCAAATCACCCACTGCAGTTCCTGCCTCTGCCTGGGCCCTGGTGCCCCAGCCCATGCTCCTCCTCTGCTCACCCAGGCAGAGCTCAGGACACTGTGTTGCTCTGGCTTTGGTCCCGCTTGAGGGCCGTGCATCCTGCCAGGCGGTCCTCCAAGTGGGACTAAGGGATGTCACTAAGTGATGCTTAGCAGGATCCTAATGCGGAAGGGAAGTAAGTGCTCCATTTGGGATGCTCCTGGGCCCACTGAGGAGGCATGGCCTTGACCTCTGACCCTCAGCAGGGTGCCTCTTTCGGCACCATATACAAACTGACTTACCTTACTTTGCTTCTGGTTTCCCCGTGCTGGCCCCTCTGAACTCCCCTGGCTCACACTCACTACACTTTTCTTTCCTCCAGTCTGTATTAGAAGAAAACGTGGCACCCCCTCCCTCCCCTCCCTCCAGTGAAAGGAGTTAGAAAGTTAGGGACAAGCCAAAGGTCAGAGTCCTCTTTGGTTATTTGATAACTCACTCTAGAGAAAAAGGAAAGAACCAGCAGAGAGCTAAGTGGTTTCCCTGAAGTCTTGAGAACCACAGGGCAGAGGACATGCCTGGCCCTTCTCACCCCTAAGCACAGAAATCATAACCTCTGTCCTCTATAATGAGGGGAGATTCAAGTGACAGGGAAGATACAGACTCTGCCTTCAAAAAACACACAGTCTGTTCCCGAAGACAACAGCATCCATCTGGGGAATGGATCTAAGATATAGAGAGAAAGAATCCAGGTCAAAGTACTGTAACGTGGCTCTGAGGTCAAGTGTATCCACTGCCTAAGTTCTCCAACAAAACTAGTACTAATGTAATAATTGTATAAAATCAGGAGCTTCCAACTTAACAACTGTCGAACAGCAGGTCATGATATGTTGGACATATTCTTGGTGACAACATAATGTGTTCCTGGGTAGGACACTGGACAGTTTCAGCCAGAGGGGAAATGGGGACGTGAAAGCGGCAGTGAGCAGTCAGGGGCTCCCCAGGCTTTGGGAGAAATCCCGACAGGCTGGGAAAGGAGGTGGCCACATAAAAGGGACAACTCTAGAAGCTGAAATGTTCCCGAATCCAGTGCCCTGGCCAGCCTCATGTCAAGTGTCTAAACAGAGTCCATCCTCAACCACCTTCCCCAACCAAAGGTCCCAAGCAGCCTGAGGAGCTTCTCACTTTACCATGGAAGTCAGTGGAGAAGCCCAGTGAGCTTTTCGGCCCCCGCCCCCCAGCTGGACTGTATCACTGTCACAGAAGGCCAGGCTGCCTGCAGTGCAAGCCGAGCACCTGTGCGTTGAGGGAAAACCTCAGCTTCCAGGTGAGGCAAATGGGAGGAACCCCTGGAGGGCAGAGCCCTTTGAACAGGGCAGGAATGCATGTCAACCACGAAAGCAGCAAACGATGGCTTGGAACAACCAGCTTGGCCCAAACGTGGGATGTGGGCAATGAGCGAGAGGAACGCTGCCGTGTCACTTGCTGTGGACAAAAGTGGCCCTTCCTCCCCAGCCTCAGCCGGGGACACCCACCAAGCCCAGCAGTCCTCTCCTCTGAGGCTTCAAGAGAAGGTGTCATTGTCTGCCCTGCCCCGAGTGTTTGTTATCCAGGGTCCCAAGGTCATGTTTCCAACACCAGTGAGCCATGAGCAGAGACAGACTCTAGGATTTTCTGAATACCTATCACCTCATGTAATCCTTACAACTTAACCTGTGCACAGTTAGACACTTCTGCTAAATGAGGACACCGCCTCAGGTAAGTTAAAAGGAACAGGTCCAAGGTCACGCCGCTGGTCAGTGGTGGAGGCACGATATGAGCCAAGATTTCTCCTCTACTGACCATGCCTTCTACCCCATGGGAGGTGAGGAGTTCCAACACAAGTCACACTGTTCAGTCTAAAGCCAAGTCACTCCCACCTGTGGGAGGCAGCATTAATGCCCTCATGGCTGCTGGTCACCCAAGGGTTAAGCATAAGCTCCTGGCCCCGCAGATGACCAGAGATTTCTCTCAGCTTTGTTCCAGAGAAACCAAGAGCTGCCCCTGCTTTCCCAGTGTGCTGGTGGAGTGACTGACCGAGCTGAGTGGCTGAGCAGCACGTTGCTGTCACAGGACAAATACAGCTGGGCCCAAGCAAGAGAGCCTCCTGCCGGGCTTGTGCAAACTATGTGCTAAGCAGGACAGAAAGGCAGAGCAGCAGATTCCGTCCCAGGACCTTCTGAACTTGTCAAGCTGAGTCACAAAGTACCAATATCTCTGGGGCCCCTGGGTGGCTCAGTCATTAAGCATCTGCCTTCAGCTCAGGTCATGAGTCCTGGGATCAAGCCCCACATCGGGCTCTCTGCTCAGCGGGGAGCCTGCTTGTCTCTCTGCTGCTCTGCCTGCCGCTACCCCTGCTTGTGGTCGCTCTTCTCTCTCTCTCTGACAAATAAAATCTTAAAAAAAAAAAAAAACCAGTATCAATATCTCCTGACGAGAAGTCTTAATTAAGGCAGGACCCAGTGCCCCATTTCTCTGCTTTCCTCCATCACTTATGTGTGCCTGTTGATTTTAAATTCCCAGAAGGATGGCGGGGGACTCTCCAACGCCAAAGCAGGTATCTCCTACCGTTGCCACAGTGACAGGAGAGGCCACTAAGGGTCACGCCTCAGAGGGAGAAGCCGGTACAGCTGAAGGCGAGAGGGCCTGGCACTCACTCCCTCGCCTCACAAGTGGGGTCTCAACCTGCTCTTTGTTACATAACCTCCAGACTTCCTGCTGAAACATCAAAACTAGTTCCTCTTGTTTTACCCACTGGAAAATCCTCTTGGCAGACACCTGTACGCACACTTCCTCCAGCCTTCCCTTCTCCCAACTCAATCAGCCCCCGTTCTTTATGGCTCTTTCCCAGACCCTTATTTGTGTGCACAGCTCTGATTCTGAATTTCCTCCCATCTTTTAACAACTGCTCAGGCAGAGAGGTTGAGATGCTTCCTGTGGGGACCCAACAGATGACCCAGGATGCCCTGAAGTCATCAAATGAGATGTCAGAGGCAGATCCTCCCCTACCAAGCTGCACAGGGGAAAGGGACAGATTGGTGGTCTCTGCACATCTCCCTTCCACTTGCACTCTTCCTGAACCAGAAACATCACACCAGACTATTCACTAGGTTCTGAGATAAGATTCTGGTTCGGGATAAGGCAGTGCCATCTGGAAGGCCAGGTCATGCAGTGGAAAGAACACCTGTCCTCAGGAGATCCAAGTTTGAGTTCCACTTCAATTGGTATGATTGGAACCATGTCACTTCATTGAAACTCAGTTTTCTCATCTGGGAAGCGGGGCCGGTCAGGCCTGCCATGGCTGTATAGTAGTGTGGAGCCACTCACGGGAGGCCATACGTGTAAAAACGTTTTGTAACAGCAAAGCATCTCTATCATGGCACAAAGTTCTACTAGACAATGCTGCTCTAAATCCTGGCTCCTCAGAGCAGCACACACGCCAGCAGCACGGACATCAGCTGTATTTCTTGTTAGAAATACAGAGTTTCAGGTTGCAGGCTTGCCCTGCCGAATAAGAGCCAACATGTTAACAAGCTCTCTGGGTGATTAAATGTGCCAGCGTTTGGAAAACACTGCCTTAAATGTTAAGGATTGTCAGTATTACCATAACAATGATACAGCTACTCGAAGAGTCCAGGACCATTATGACTCCATCCTGACTTGTCACCAGAACTGGGCCCAGTGATGGTTACTAGACGCAGGCAGAGCTTTCCGGGCTAGCCAGCCCCACCAAAATAAATCCCCTTCTGCAGCTCCGGACCCACACCCACAGGCTTGGGTCCCCGATTCTCAGCTGCAAACAAGATCTTTGCTTCCCCCTTCTGTTCCTCCGTTCTCCCATCGCATCTGCGAGACGCTGCAACCTGGGAGCCACCTCCCCCAGGACGAGCGCGGATACATTTACACGCTTGCCCACCTCTCCTCAGGGGAGGTCCCCGCGATGCCTCCGACCCCTCCTTCGAGGCCATCTCCTCTCTCCGTCACGGTGAGGTCCCACCCAGCTCTCCCTGTGGTCGTCCACTGGCACCCACGTGATCCCTCATCACTGACACCACATGACACCCGTCCATGCAGCGCCTGGCCTGGCCCCCCCGCACAGCCGCCCTGGGCCGGGGGCTCGGACCTGGCCGTGCCACGCCTCTCGCCCCGCTCCCTCCGCTGTGCGCTCCTCCGACAGGAACAGACGCCTGGCTGCAGTCGCCCCTGAGCCCCGGAGCTGCGAGGCCGGCTCCCGCGGAGCCGCAGGCACCCAGTGCTGCCGCCGTGACAGGTCCAGGTCCTCGGAGACCGTAGCCGTCAGGCACCCCGCGCCGGCCGTTCCTTACCTCCTCCGATCAGGGAGGTTCCGCCGCGACTGAGGCGAACTCCGAGCCCGGACCTCTAGGCCACAGCTCCCACTCTAGCCTCCATGCCCGGCGACCGCCGGCCCCCGCCCGCATCTTCCTCCATCTCGACCGGGATCCCGGTACTGCCGGAACCGGAAATTGAGATACTGTCATTCCCGCCCCTCGCGGGGGGGGCGGGGATACGCCGCGGGCAGGTCCACCAATGGCGTGCTGAGCTTTTAGCCCCCCCTCTCCCCCGCCCCCGAGGAGGGGGGGAAATGGGCGGGGCCCGTGGCCATCTTGAATTCGGGCAGAAGCCACGCCTTCGTTGGCTTCGTCGTGCCCTCAGTTCTACGGCGCGTGCGTGTCCTTTCTCGTTCGCAGAAGCCAAGTCACCTGGCCCGTCTTGAGGATCCCGTTGTAAATGGGTCACCTTGTGTTTCGGGTCTACTGGAAATCCAACTTCCAATCTAATCTGTAATTTTTGCGTAACTTTTCTCATCTATGGAGCCAAACAGGCCAATGTGCAGCAGGAAGGACTGAGGTTAGACAACCGATTTTGAGGTTTGAGAACTCAAAAAATTGCAGGAAGAGGGGCCGTTCTGGAGGTGGAGTGAGTGACATTAGGGTCTCGTCCCGCTCTGAAACTACTTATATTTGGATTTAAAAGGAGAGGAAGAGCTCTTTAAATGAGCGACTGGAAAGCCTGGGGTGGAGAGTCGGTTCATTTCAAATGAGGTATTTCCGCAAGTCAACAACAAAAGACAAAAAACCCCATTTAAAAGTGGACAAAGGACTTGAATAGACATCCCTTTCCTCCCGTCAGTTCATTGGTAAGTCCCCTCTGCCGTTTGCACAGACCAAGTGTCTGGGGGCATCCTTGCACGCTCTCCATTTCTCACCCAACACGTGCAGCCTGTCATCAGACACCATGGGCTTCATCTCAAAATACGGCCAGAGCTTGGCCACTCCCCACCACCTCCACACTGCCTGCCTGGCCCCAGCCACCACTCTCACCTGGGTGATTCCAGAAGCTACCTCACCGGTTGCTTTGCTTCCACTCTTGCTCCTGCTATGTTCTAATCAGAAGACAGCAGCCAGGGTGATGCTTTTAAATTCTAGGTCAGATCATGTCCCCTCATCTGTTAGAAATGCTCCAGCAGTTCCCCATTTATTCGGAGTAAAAGCCAATATCTACAATGGCAAAGGCCTACAGGGTCCTACAATCTCCCCCCGACCCTGCACACCCAGTATCTTTCTCCCTTCATCTCCTACTCTCACTCCTGCCTCAGGGCCTTTGCACTGGCTTCTGCTTATGTCTGGAAGTTTTCCTGCAGGCATCCACATAGCCTGTACTTTCTTTCATTGTTTCATTGCTCAAACTTCACCTTATCAATGAGACCTACTCTGAATCTCCTATTTAAAACTGTAGACACTCCTTCCACTCAACCTTCTTTCTGCAACTCAATTTTTTCCTTTACAGCACATCACCATCTAATGCACCCTACCTGTGTGACTTATTTCTGTCATCTGTCTCCCACACTAGGATGTATGCTCTATGACCACAAGAATTGTGTCTGCTTTGTTCATTGGTGTGCCATCAGTACCTAACAGTGCCTGTCACATAGGAGGTGCTCAGTAAATATTTGAATGAAAGAGAGGATTTCAGCATTGAGAGTATTACCCAGGCACACAGAAACCCAATGAAGCAGCAGCAGTGTATAAAAAGGATTATAGTGAGGTGTACGTAGGGCCCTAACTGCGTGATAGGTTTGAGAAGAATCCAGAGGGGATGATGTCCTAGGTGGAAGAAACAGCATGCCTCAAGGAACCATACTGTTAGTCCCGTTAGGCAGGTTGTCTGTTCATCTCTGTGTCACCAAGGCCTGAAATAGTGCTGGGCACTCAGTAAAGGTTTCCGGAAAACAGTACAAGGTGCTCGGCCGCTGCATGTGGTGCAAGGTGTATATGGAGCAACTAGAGGAAAGGCACACTGTCCCAGGAGGTTATTCCGGAGTTCTTTACTCTGGAGTGAATGAAAAGCCATTTCAAGTTTTTTTTCCTCTTAAAATTTATTTATTTATTTGAGAGAGGGAAAGCAAGAGCACGTGTGTGCACGAGCAGGGGGAGGGGCAGAGGGAGAGGAAGAGAAAGAACCTCAAGCAGACTCCCCGCTGAGCGCGAAGTCCGACGTGGGGCTCTATCTCACGACCCTGAGATCATGACCTGAGCTGAAATCGAGAGTCGGATGCTCAACCAACTGAGCCACCCAGGCTCCCCTAGCCATTTCAAATTTTAGGCAGAATTTTTTTTTTTTTTTAGTTAAGTTCCTCTTGACCCAGGCCAGAGAATGGAGTCTGGATGGGAGTGGCAGAAAGGTGGAAGAGACTGGTTAGGGGTCGGCTCTGGTTGCCTTGGTGAGGTGGTCAGGACCTGGTGGGACTGCAGAGGTCCTGAGGAATTCCCGGGCAAGCGAGGAGGGGGAGGAGATGGGGTGGGGACCCAGTCAGTGGAGTGGAGGGGTGGGAGAGAGGAAGTGTTGGGTGAGCCCCAACCCTCCATGTTGCAGTGTAATCGCTAGCATAGGGGAACATGGGAGAGGGAGCAGGTTTGGAGGGGATGATAAATTGAATTTGGGACATGTTGCATTAGAGTGTCTGTGGCGTGTCCAAGTGGAGGTAAGCAGTAGCTAGAAGGGCAGGCAATGCACTGTCCCCCACAAGACCTCTTCCCCAGCTTGTGGCCGGCCCTGCTGCTGTGCTGTAAGCCGTGTGCGGACAGGAAGTAAGTCTGACTCATGTGTCTCCTGCTGTCTAAGTCAAATTCTGGACCACAGCACGTGCTGAGTGCGTGTTTGCTGAATGGATGGATAGATGGACAGATGGGCGTCTTTCGTTAAGAGGAGGGAGAGGAAGGGGCGCCTGGGTGGCTCAGTCGTTAAGCGTCTGCCTTCGGCTCAGGTCATGGTCCCAGGGTCCTGGGATCGAGCCCCGCATCGGGCTCCCTGCTCCGCGGGAAGCCTGCTTCTCCCTCTCCCGCTCCCCCTGCTTGTGTTCCCCCCGCTCTCTCTGTCAAATAAATAAATAAAATCTTAAAAAAAAAAAAGCGGTGGGAGAAGAAGTAGTAGGCATGGTGACACTGTCCAAGGGAGCTTTTAGCGGGAGAGAAGAGAAGGATGCTCGCAGGAAACAGGTGCAGTGGCAGGCAGGTAGGCAGGTAAGTGAGAGAGCACACAGCCAGAGACCAAAGGACAGGTGTTGCAGGAAGAAATTGCCACCAAGGTCAAAGGCTGCTGAGAGGTCACGTAGGGCGAGTGGGAGGGAGGTTGTGCTGTCACAGATGGTAAGCGTCCTGTCGCTAGGCGCGTAGTGCCTCACGCTGCCGGCTGTGGAGGTGGCTTGAGGTGCCTCCTGTCCGCCGGGGTGTGGACAGCCCACTCCCTGTCCGCATTCTTCTAGTTGGCTCAGGTACCTCCTGAGTGATGCACACAGTGAGTGCCAGGGAAATCTTGGGGGAGAAGAATCGGCCAGGGCTTGGGCTGGTTGGGAAGATGGCACAGAGGCGTCTAAACTGTACCTCAGAAGGAGATGAGGAAAGAGAAATTTCCAGAGTGATGGTGAGGGGAGGCAGAGAAGAGGAGAGAAAGGATGTGCTTCCAGAAGCCTCTGGGTCCCCTGGATGAAGACGTCCGGCGGGCTTGTCCTCGTGCTGGCTGGAGCGCAGGAGAAAGCTCGCTCTGGAGCTGCCCGTTTGGCAGTGAGGGATCCGTAACGCTTAAAGCAGAAGGAGCTTCCTGTGCCTTCCTTTTCGAGAGGTGAGGGGTGGCAGCACAGACAGGAAAGGTGCGCCGAGTTGCTGGCAGCAGCCGCGTCCTGGCTCAGCGCCCTCGGGGGGCCCCACTGCTCTTGGTCTAGAGGTCCGCAGGGGAGCCGCAAGACGAGTCTCGCAGGTGCTTGAACAGCGAAAGCCAGGCTTGGGGTAACAGCACCTTGGGTGACAGAGGAAGATGAGGAAGACGGAGCCAGCCGGGGAGAGAGATATTCCTAGAGAAGCCAACTCACTCCAGTAAAGAAGACACAGCAGACGGGATGTGGAGAGGCTTGCGCACCCGTGTTCATTCCAGCAGCGTTCACCGTAGCCAAGAAGTGCGACAACTCGAGCGTCCACCAGCGTGTGAACAGGTGAAGAAGCTGCGGGACGAACCTACAACGGCAGTGTTCAGCCCCCAACAGGGAAGGAAGTCCACCAACATGGATGAGACTTGAGGATGTTATGGGAGTGAAAAAAGCCAGTGGCAGGAGGCCAAATACTGTGTGACTCCGCTTACATGAAGTACACATTGTTTGCTTTGTGCCGTGTTAAAAATAAAAACATCTTTAAAAAAGAAGCCCCAGAGAAAGAGAGTTATGGGGATACAGTGGCCAAGTGTGAAGGTGGCACAGAGGTCAAGGCCAGGTGGGGCTTACGGGTAGCTTCGGTGAGTCATTTTTGCAGAGAGGTAGGGGAGAAAGCCAGAGCACAGGGCATCCAAGGGGGTGAGGGCCTCTCTGGGGGAGCCATGGGCAGGCAGCCGGAAAGGACCCTCTCTGGGCTTTGGTAAGAACGGGGAAGAGAGCCAGTGGGTGTGGGGGGCGGCAGGGTGCAGCGTTATCCTTTGTTTGGACCCTGCAGAGAGCACCCAGCACAGGGGCTGGTGGGAGAGGCAGGGTGCTAGGGTGAGGGCAGTGCTGGGGTCTCGGCGGAGAGGAGCCTCCAAACGGGTGCGCACAGAGCGCGGCTCCTCAGACTGTTAGATCGGGGAAGGGTGTGGCCAGGCTGGGGGTGGCTGCACGGTTGCTCCGTAAATTCAGTCCACCAAGAGGGGAGCAGGGACCGTGGGGCCAGCAGCTGCAGGGAGCGGCCACGGATGAGGAAAGGGCTGTGGGGTTGGTTCTGGGTGTGGGCAGGTGGCAGGGCAGGTGCTTTGCCCTTGGAGGCGGCCGCGGCCCCCACAAACCTGGCGCTCCTCCCCGCTGAGGCCCTCCGCCCCGCGGTCCTCGGCTGCAGCCTTCAGCTCCCACAGAAACCACACCAGTCGTGAGCTTTGTCTTTTTAATAAAAAATAAACTGTCTGTGACAAGCGGTCTTCTGAATCCCAAAATAAGGGAAAGGGGAGAGGAGGGCCTGAAGAGGTCAGCCCGAGGTGAGGCAGGAACAAGGCTCAGATTACCCCTGTCCTTCCAGCACAGCAGGGGTCACAGTCTGCCCCGACCGAAACAAGAAGGAAGGTGGTCACTTGCCGGGGGTCAGCGGTGCTGGGTGGACAAGGTGGCAGGATGGGGCAGCTCCCTGCAGGGCCCTGGGACGGCGGAGTCTTGGTGTCCGTGGGGGCGGCTGCTGCCCCCGGCGGGGGGGGGTCTCCAGGGACGGCGGGCGGCGGCGTGCCCACTCGTGTACACCTTGGGCTTCGTTACCAAGGGGCCTGGAGCAGTCTCGTGTTTTAGGGGCTCCTGGAGCGGTATGTTTCTGGAGGGATCCGCTCCAGGTCTTCTTGTTTGGTCCAGGCCTGGGACGGCCCGTTGGAGGGCCCATGTGTGCGGTGGAGGGGAGGCCCACAGGGCGTCAGGCTGCTGGGTTCCAGCCCCGCTGAGGGCCCCGGGTGACAAGGCGGGAAGGTGGTGTGCTGTGCCCCGCCCCCGCCCTCAGGGCCGTGCTGCCCCAGGTCCCCCAGCAGCGCGGCGGTCGCCCCCCTACCCTGCGCCCAGAGTCTACGCCACCTCGGTGCCCAGGTGGTTGTTGTCGGCGTCCACATCGCTGGCGGACGGCCTGCGTTCCTTGGGAGGTTGGAGGGGCTGCTCCCGGCTCAGGGGGGCCTTCTCCCCCGGGGGCAGGGTCCCACAGCCCTGCACCTTGCCCCGGGCTCGGAGAGCCCCCAGTGGGGAGGCGAGGAGGAGGAGGAGGGCTCCTGAAAGCACTAAGGCCAGGAGCACAGTGACTGTGAGGAAGTGCGGCCAGTAAGACCGCCGGGCAGCCAGGGCAGCCCCGCCGCCAACCCTGGTCAGTGGGGCCTCCACACGCTCCCGGGGAATGCCCCCCAGCTCGGGGTCCAGGGCCAGGGGCTGATCCTGGCTGTGCACCCAGTAGGACACCACAGGGTACGAGAAGCCATTCTCCGTGGCCCAGCACTGGTACAGGCCCCCTACCCCACCCTGCAGCAGCAGCACCAGGGAGCCATTGAAGACCGCCGAAGAGGCTTCTGGGAGCTTGGCTGCGCCCTGACTCCAGCGGTACGAGGCCAGGGCCGAGAGGTGGGGGCAGGGGAGCTCCAGGATGGAGTTGGGGACAGCCAGGACTTCTTTAACTGTAGATGAAGGAAGGGAAGGGTTAAGGGAGGGGAGACGGAGGGCAGGGAAGCTCTGCCGACATTTGGACCCTGACTCCCCCCCACCCCCCTCCACCTTCCCGTCCAGCTCCCAAACTCAACTCTGATCCCTCGTCTATCTCCAGTCTGGACCCCAGACCCTCAGTCCATCTGACTCCGACTCTGACACCAAAACAGACTTCAGCCTCAATCCTGGATCCCAGCTTGGAATTCCTGGCCTCCCTCCCGAAGCCAGGACTCAAATCCGCCCCAGGTCTGGGTGTTCAGCTCTCAAGCCAGGCAGGTTTTGGGGGGGGGGGACACCAACCTGAGCCTTCCCCCACCCGGTTCCACACTCACTGATTTGGGGGCGGCTTTGAGGCTGGAGGCTCCTGCCCACGGGGCCAGTGGCACATGCCCACCCTGGATTCCCTTGTTCCGTGTCCTGTCTCCAGGACTTCCTGAGAAGGCAGGGAAAGCAAACCTCAGGCCTTGAAACAGACCAAAGCGGGAAGAGGGGAGAGGAAGTGGGGGGCAGGGTGGGGCAGAGAAGAAGGCAGGTAAACCCAGGCAGGCTGGAGCAGCTTCAAGACTGCAACCCCATCCCAGGAGGAGCCTCTGCCACAGGAGGGAGATCCTGGGAGAGGCGGTGCCAGTCACCCCTGGAGAGAGGAAGAACCCCACATGCCGGGGAGGAAGGTCCTGGTGGGCCAGCCTCCACCGCGGTCCAGGACCAGCACTCACGGGGTGGGGGTGGGCAGGAGACGGCAGGTTCCGGACTCGGGGTCCCAGGCACAGTGGGGGTCCCGGGCCAGGACACAGTCCACACAGCTCCCGTAGACGCTGCAGTTGGCTCGGGGAACCCTCCAGATGCCCCCTGAGAAGCCCGCAAACACTGCGCCCTGGAAAAGAGAGGGAGAGTGACCTCTGCACACCCAGTAAGGGCCCAGCACCCAAGCCCCCCCCGCCTGGTCAGAAGGCCCCTCGCCACCTGTTCAGGGGCCAGCAGCAGGTTGCGGATAGGTTCGGGATCAGGGAACAGCTGGATCTCCTCCACCAGATGAGCACTGCCGTCCCCACTCACCACAGCCTTGTGGAGGGCGCCTGTGGCTGTGGAGAGACAGGGAGCACGGACTCAGGCTGGTCAGGCTGCTCCCCTCTATGCTGGGGGGCTGACGGGAAGTCTGTGATAAACGGCTTGGAACCCCTTGCCCCTCTGTCTTTCCTTTGCAAGAACCCAACCCACTCCTCCCTGGACTTGGGGCAGTGGACAGCTGAGCCCTTCCGTAGAAACCCCATCAGCATCCACCCTCACCTCCACCAGGTGTCCCTCCTCCAAGGACTTCAGGGAGGTCTGCGCTGCCCGCCCTGTTAAAAACTGCCACCTTCCCAGCTGGCCTTCGGACCCGCCCGTCCTCAAAATCAGTTTCTAGTCTCATAACACATTAAGTCCTTGGCTCATGTCGTATGTTCGTTGTCTGTCTGCATACATTCCACAAGCACTGAGCTTTTGTCTGTTGCTCTCTGCTGGGACCCAATATGTGCGCAGCGGATACAGTGGCTGGGAACGTGTCCTGGAAGGATCGGCGCACCTGTAGCTTTCTCCCATGGAAGCTCGAGGTCATCCACCCCCATCGGGCCCTCCATACACACGCCCGGCAATCCTGCACATTCCCCGCTGACTCTCGCTCCTTCTCTCCACACTGACTTTTGAATCCACCCCTTTCTCCTCACACCTCCCCCTTTCCTACCCCTCGCTCCCAGCCCAAGACCTCGTGTCCTCCTCTCCCGCACCATCACAAAAGCCTGTCCGTAAAAGCTGCCTCTGCTTCCTGGACTCCGGCTTCAGCTTCCTCTGCAATTCCCCTGCCAGTTACCCCCTGGCTTGCCCATTTCTTCACCGTCTGCCTCCCTGCTGGAGCCTGAGGACCTCTCCATCTTTAAAAACAAAAGCATGCTGGTGGGACCCCCTCTTCCTCCAGTCACCCCCCTCCCCACTTGCCCTTCACAGCCAACATCCTGAAGGAGAGGCCCTGCCCTCGCTGCTCCCAGCCGCCCGACACCCGGCAGCTCTTCACGGCTCTAATGTGGCCCTCACGTGGCTTCTCTGGGAGACAGACAGCTCCTGCTAGGGCCAGCAAAGCCCTCTGTGTTCCTGTGCCCATCACCCTCTCCAGACTCAAAGCTCAGAAATGATGGAGACTGCGTTGTTGGGTAACCCCACCATATCTTAGAGCCTAGCAGGGTGCCAGGCACATAGTAGGTGCTCAGGAAGCATTTGCGGAATGAAAGCAGGAGTGAACGAGCTCCAAGGTTTCCCTCTGCAACCTGGGTTGCGGTCCCTGCTTGGTCACTTCAGGATGTCTGGAGACCTTTACTCACCGGTGCCCAGGTACAGGACCAGATGGCTGTGCCCATCGACGCCCTGGGCTGTCTCCACCACAAGCCTCGTGTACTCCACACCAGACTTCACCAGCAGGGGTGTCCCCACCACCTGCTCATCCATCAGGAAATGGTCCTTCATGAAGGTCAAGGCTTTGTCAGAGGAGGGGCCCACGGAGCACTGAAGGGGGAAGGAGGCGCATCGGGTCAGCGCTCTCCCTCCTGCAAGCTCACCGTTGCCCCCCGACACACTGGTCCAGCCCGCTGGGCCTCCCTCAAGGCGGTCCTCCTCTCGGGAGGCGATGGAAGCTCTGGGGCTGCCTGGCTTGGCATCCCAGGCTCTGCACACAGTGCCGCGTATCACCGGCTTACTGTGCGGAGGAAACGTACGGAGACGTGGAAAGTGACATGAAGTAAGAACTCAACAAATGTTGGCTGTTGTCCTTCTCCCGGCCTTGACGCCTTCCCCAGGGGTGCCTGGCAGCTGCGGCAAGTAGGATGAGGGACGACGTGCCCATGTCAGTAGCCCCAGGCTTACTCAGCATGAGCCCTGGCACACAGCTGGCGCCCAATAAGTGTTTGCCGAGTTAGTCACTGAATGAAGGATGTCACAGAAAGGGGTGGTGTCTCACGAACCTGCTCCACAAGTCTGGCGGAGCCCCTTCTCCATTCCGGGCCTCCTTTTCCTCACCCATAAAATGGGGAGGGGGGCGGTGGACAGAGGGTGGGCTGGCTGTTCTCTGAAGGCCCTGCCCACACCAGCGTGCCATGCACTGTGTCCTGATCTCGGTCGGGAGCCTTGTCCTCCGCACCCCAGGGCGCTATCTCAGGGCCAGTCCCACTCGGTCACCTGCCACTGTGTCCTCAGACAAGTTACTCCCCTCTGGGAGCTTCCATTTCCTCATCTGCAATGTGAGGTAATAACATCTGTATTTCATTCTGATGCCAGAATGAGCACATGCACCTACTCTCACTTCCTCCTTCCCTGGAAAGGGGGGGACGGGGGGAAGGGAAGACAGCCACTGGGTGAAAGCTGAAAAGCAAATGAACAAATATGGTAAAAGACTGAGCAGGAAAAAAAAAAAAAAGAAAAGAATCTTCTTAAGCCAGCCCCTGGGTAGCCAAAATGATCTGATTTACAAGGCAGAATTCCTAAAGGTCATGAATGAGCAGTGGGCCAGCTCTGGAAGTGGGAAGGATGGGACTGCGTCAGGAGAGCCTCTGAAAGTCTGTGCACCTGGCAGGCTGGGATCCCGCACCCCTGTGTGGCCCTGCAGGCCCCGGCCCAGGACTGGAGGCTCCTTCTTGGGAGACGGGAAAGCAGAGGGTCTCTAGGTGAGGGCAGCAGGCAGGGGTGAAGGCGGGGAGGCGCAGTGCATGTGGGGACACAACCCCCGGCCCCCTGGTGCCAGCAGCCAGGCCAGTCTCCCTCCAAGCACAAGGCTGGAAGAGGCCTCCAGAAAACCGAGGGCAGGTCAGAGGTAAGCCCTGACAATGTTGATACCAGTGGTCCCCAAGAAAACGGCCCAGCCAGGCCATCTTCTGTGAGCAACAAGGGGCCCACGCTGACGAGTCACATCCAGGGGCGAAGCTTCCAGAGAGCTTCACAGTCCCCACTCCTATGAGAGCAGAGAGCCCGGAGCCACCAGGCGTGTGAGTTAAACCATGAACACGAAAGAGACCAAAACAAACCAATGGAAAAAAACAAACAAAAAGCTAAATGATGCAGAGAAAAGAGACCCTCACAGCAAAGTATTACTGCTGTCTTACCAGAGCTGAGCAAGGACCGTGTGCCCTTGAAACCAGACCATAATGCTACATAAGAGGAGTCCCCACGGCAGAGAGGGAG